TGTCAATTCAATGATAGGTATGTCAGGGTGTCCATTGTCGTGGCATCCGCAAACCCAGACAGGATCGCGTTGTACACAAATCCAGGCGGCAGGTTTTTCGCTGTTTTCGGCCTCGGGGGGCCCTCGCTGGGCCCCGGGACCGTCAGAAAACGAGTTAGGATGAAGGACCAGCCTAGGTGCAAGGGTCTGGACTTCTGGGGACGCCGCACTGAAGAAATCAGGACGTCGCATGTCTGGGAAGGGGTGTGGTGCCAATGCTGGATCTGGCGAGGTTATCTATTGTAGGTAGCATCGCCATTTCCACGATTAGCACCACACCCCCTTATGCCACCACACACTTTTCCGACCTCCGGAGGAGCAGCGGGAGCCCGCCTGCTTCAGGTGAGCGACGGGAGAAAACCCACCGCGCTGCCCTTTTCAGGTGTTCTCTTTCCCCCCTCAAGTGAGGACCATCATACGTAGGTCTTGCCAGCGAGGACGGCCAGGAGGCCTCACACCCTCCGCAGCTTCCATCACAGGGGCCGCGGCGGTTGGGGTGGTAGGGGGGGGGGGGGAATCCCCTTGAACCTGGCACCGTACGTGCAGTGCCGGGGGTGGCGACCCGTCTTCCCATCCCATTATCATAGGGTGATGCGAAGTCCATGAAGACGGGACGGGGTGGGCACGAGCGGGCATCATAGCCAGCTCAAAATCAAAAGAGGCAGCATCGCCTCATCGTTCATTTTATCTTTGATTTGGGGGGGGCACATGATGTGCGACACCCTCAAAATGGAGTAGAGGCACTGGTCGTAAGTTAATCTCGGGCAGGACGACGGCCCGCACGAACAGGTCGCATGGGTCCAGCATCCACCAGTCGGTCCTCCAAATTTTGGGATGTAACGTGTACCCCCACCTCACAGATGGCCAGCAACATACGCGCACGTGTAACCGCACGGTCTGAAGCAGCATACGTAATCCACCCTGACTTGGACGAAACTCGCCGAAGCGTCGTCCAGAAACCGTCGGGTAGGCTAGTAGGTCCGAAACCGTACGTAACCACTGCATTCCGTGACCAGATGTTTCAGACTTGGCCAAAGTGCTCCGCATAGTCGGCAACAGTTGCCTGTCTGTCGTCTTGTCTTCGTCGCTCTTGCACCGGATCGGTAGATAGACAATTTATCCTTGATTTCATTCCATGCGCAGCAAGCTCTCCCCTCGAGCCATGGAAAAGCGCAACGGGAGGATTTTCCCTATTTTCTGCCCCCGTGTCACTGGGCCTCGGGACCGTCAAGAAATGACCCAGGATGAAAAGCCGGTCCCCGGGAATGGGTCGAGACCTCAGGGGCCGGCGTCACGAAAAAATCGGGACGTCGGGGGGTCTGGGAAAAAGGTCGACGGCGCCGACATTCGCGCGTAAGCTGCCCGCGCCCCGCGTAAGGTAGTGCGTAAGCGCCCTCGTTTCCACTGTGGCGTGCCATGCTGATGACCCGCGTAAGCTACCGCGTAAGGTCGCTGTGCCATCTCGCATAACACCCGTTTCTGCTCGTCGCCCAGGTGCGGCTTCCCGTGGAAGCAGCACGTCGGGGAGCTCGGGCCGTACCAGAAGTTGGAGCCGGCTGGGGGGCTGACCCTGAAGTCCGGGCGGTGTTCCTGTTTCGCATTGCCTTGGCTCCGGATCCGCCATGCTTTGGTGGATATTCCGATTTACATCTTGTGTCGTGCACACCGAACGGTGCGAAAAAGTAGGGTGGGAATTTCCGACTCCGAAAAGAAAGGCGGAGATTTCCGCAAGAGGATGGCAGAAACAGCAACGGCAAAGCATGGCGGAAATCGGCATCAAAGGAGTTCGACAAGTAGGGCGAACATGTCCGCCCTACTATCGAGTTCAGTAAAAGTACGGCGGATCGGAGTCAGGGTGGATAATTTCGTCCAGGTCCAGGCCCCAACATCATCACATATCGATCTGATTCGACAAAAAAACAGACAGATGTGGTCTAGGGCTCTGGTTGCATTTTGAAAGGGGGGAGAACGGGGCCCCCTCGTCGCCACGGCCGGACGCGGTTCGAGAAACTGCTTGGATTCGGCCCCAGGAGTGGTCCAGGGGGCGATTTTGAGCGGAATCGGCATCGCCCCTCCCTCTTGACCGACCCTGAGACCCAGCCTTGCGAAAAAAATTGCAGCATCGCGACAATTCACGACCGGAGCCCCGGACCCCATCGTTCTACTGCACTTTTCGGGCCGGATCAATACAGTGGAGGCCCATGCCAAGAAGCACCCTGCTTGCCTCGAGGGTGACCTGGGTTTCTGGCTTTCGATGGTTTCGCTGTGGAAGGTGTGACGTGCCCACACAAAAAAAACAGTGGGCGCCCCAGGGTCTCAGGGTTGGGTTTCTTGTGGAAAGTTTCTTGTGGACAGGCCTCCACTGTATCGGAGGTTGATTGACCTCCTACCCTGACACGTCGATTAGCGAATTGGCCATTGTCGGTTCGCGAGATGGTGTCGCGGCCGTCATTTCTGCGGGTCCGGGTCCGTCGGTTTCGGTCCTAGGCCGTTTTTATGAAAGGGAGGTTTACTAAAGGGAGGTTTGTCTACCGCCGGCTGCAACGGGCCCGGGGCCCGAATGGCGAGGACGTCCAGTGAGAAAAAAACATGCAGCGCCCGGATCTCAGGGTACCGTCGCGGCGCCCATCCAGCGCAGACCCCCCCCGGCCGCTTCCAATGGCCAGAAGTGGTGTCTCCGGCGCTGGGCCAGCGGCGTCGTGGCGTGCTTCATTTAGATGGTAAGTCACGGAGCTTCTCGCTCGTCTTGGCTTCTCAAAGTACGTCGGCGAATAGCGCCCAATAGCACACAGTAGCGCTGCAACAGCGTTCACAGAGCGCCCGATCGCGACCCATATAGCGCCCAATAGCGCAGGGCGAGGGAGATAACTACACGCTGTCCGCTCTGCGCGCACCTGGGCGTGCTGCGGGGCGTCATATGGGGACGACCAAGCGCTTCCGTGAGTTTCTCTCTAAAGCTTCACCGACGGCGCCTCGGGCGAGAGGTGCCTCCTCCTCGGCGAGGAGCGGCGGCAGGACGGGGGCTACAACCTGTTCTGGGGCTTCGGCGAGCTCGGCGAGCTGGACCTGCAGACGACGGCGGCCCGCGAGTGCGCCGAGGACCGCCACGAGGGTCTCCCGAGATCCTGGCGCCGCAGGTCTGTCGTAACGCGCGGTTTTGTCCGGTTCCCCCACACCCTCGAGTCATGAACTCTTCAGGTCTGGAGGTCTTCCTTTTTTTTTCGGCCTCCTTGGGGGCCCTCACCGATTCTCGGGACTGTCAAAAAATGATTCAGGATGAGAAGCCAGTCCAGGGAGAGGTCGTCAGTCACGCGCAGAGGGGGATGGCGGGGGGGGAGGGCTTCTTAGAAGCACCCCTGCCTCTTAGAAGGCGCGGGCCTTATCTATAGATGTAAGGCCGGCGCCTTCTAAGAAGCAGCCTCCTTCCAAGAAGCCCTCCCCCCTCCCTCCACCCCCTTGTGCGCGACGCCAAGGTCGAGACATCTGGGGGTCGACATTCTGAAAAAAAACATGACGTCGGGGTCTGGGTCTCGGACCCCGGGACCCTCACAGATCGATGCGGCTCGAAAAACGCGGCAGAAAGACAGGGTCCAGGGCGCCCGCCGTGGTTTCTTCCGATGTTGCAGCTGTTTCGTGACGTCGGACTTAGGGGGAATGGGTCCCCAAGGAGACGGGTCCTACAGTGGAGGCCCATGCCAAGAAACACCTTGCTTGCCTCCAGGGTGCCCTGGGCGTCTTGGGTTGCGACAATTTCGTGATGGAAAGCGTGACGCTCCCACACCAAAAATCAATGGATGTCCTGGGGTCTCAGGATTGGGTTTCTTGTGGAAGATTTATTGTGGTCGGGCCTCCACTGTATAGAGCCCAGGGCCTCCCTCAGAACCAGACCTTCACCCCGAGTGGTCGGAGGAGGGCCCGTTCAAACAACGGTGGCTCTCCAGCCCATGCCTGCCAGCCCATGCCTCCTCAAAATAGGTCACCGGACCCGTCGCGAGGTCCATCCTGGCCCTTCTTTTGCGCAGATCCAGCCGTGGCCACGATAAGCTTCCGGGAGGCGTAGACAGGACGAGAAACCGAGAGATCCGGCGTTGCGAAAGACATGGCAACCTCGTAGAGAACTCTGCTGGACCCCTGGACCACATCTTCCTGCACCATCTCTCGGGCTGGACCGATCTGGGCCCTGGGGCCCGACGCCAGGCGAAGCCGGCTGTTGCGTAAAAGCGGCGACGCCGGGATCTCAGGAACGCACGAGAGACGCACAGGAGGGCCGCCGTGCGTGCCCCGAGGAACAGCTACTTGTCGCCCCGTTGACTGCCCGGAAGCCTGGCAAGGTCCCCGGGGGGACGAGCACGGCGAGGAGCTCCCCGTCGCGCGTGGCTCCTCGATGGTCCAGCACCTCAGGGCCCTCCTCCGACCCAGAGGCCCCCGACGGCATGGCTTTTCCATGACGAACCAACAACACACACACACACACACACACACACACACACACACACACACACACACAAACACACAAACACACAAACACACAAACACACAAACACACACATATCCATAGGGGTTCGGAGAGGGTTATGGGTGCGTGTTGTCGGATGGGGGTCTCCGCTCGAACGGGAGCGTTCCCCAAGGGCCGACAACCCGCACCCATACCCATAGCCAGTCCTCCTCCCAACGACCCCCCTATTGGTATGGGTGTGTGTTGTTCGTTCGTCATTTCCAGGGCGTCGATCTCCAGAGGTCTCGACCCTCTCCCCAGAACGAGTTTTGAATCCCAGGTCGTTTTTGTGGACGGCCCTCGCGAGGCCCGGTGAGGGCCCCCAGAGGCCGAAAAGATAGCGAAAAGCCTCCCGTCGTGATGTGTGATCGTTTGGCGGACGGTCCTCGCGAGGCCCGGTGAGGGCCCTCATGCAGAGGCCGAAGATAGCGAGAAGCCTCCCGTCTTGATTTTTTCTGGACTCCGGGGCGCATGGGGCGCGAGCATGGTTCTAGGCCTCCCAGATGGGGTCGGAGGATCGCGCCGCATCGCCGATGCATCAACGATGCGGTAATTACGATGTGGAGCCCGTGCTTCCCCCCACCGACGTCGCCGGAGCACCGCCGACGTCGCCGGTGCATCATCGAGCCGCATCGCCGATGCATCGGCGATACGGCGCGACCCTCCGACCCCATCTGCTCGGACCCCATCCCCAGACATGCGACGTCCTGATTCTTTCAGGACGGCGTCCCCGGAAGTCCAGACCCTTTCTCCTGACGGGCGGTTTGTCATCCTGAGTCGTTTTTGGACGGTCCCGGGGCCCGGAGAGGGCCCCCCTGGGCCGAAATTGGCCCAAGAGCCTCCCGCCCTGATTCTTTACGAGCGCGCGATCATGTCTGGGTCTGGGAGGCCTCTGATGGCTGCCCTCCCCCCCCGGACGAGGAGAGCCTGGGGCTCCTCGGCCACGAGGTGCCGCTGGCCGCCGCGCTGGGGGAGCCCCTCGCCCAGATGTGCCTCGAGGGCGGGGGCGGGCCGCTGGCCGCGGCGCCGGGGCCGGGGCGCCAGGGCCGCGGCGGGGCGCTGTTCGCCAGCACCGAGGGAGAAAAAGCATGGCACGAGCAGAGCCTTCAAGTCGGGCATGGCCCTCTCTATACAGGAGGAGCATTCAAAAATAGGCAAAGCATGCTCGGGGGGCGATGCTTCGATTGTTTTTGTTTCGATTCTTGTTCGAGCACTTTTTGACTTTACTTACATTTTTCGTCCAAAAGCCGCCTGTAGGAGGACACCCCCGACCAAAGCATAACCAAAGAAACACCCTCGAGTCATGAAACGAAATAGCGGTGGGATGTATTTGGCATTATTTGGGGCCTCCATAGGGGCTCTCATTCCGGCCTCGGGACCGTCCAAGAACGACTCGGGATGAGAAACTAGTGCCGAGGAATGGGTCGTGATCTCTGGGGCCTTCTGGAGGTCTGAGGTGGCCCAGCATTCTGTCCTGCCAGCAGGAGGGGAGGGCAGGTTCGAGGTTCTGGTTCTGGGGAGGTTGGCCTTTATCAGCCTGCCGGGGCCGTTTTCGGGCCCAAGGACTGTGAAACATTGTTTCGAGGTGAAGATTTTCACCAGATGGACCCCGGGAGGGGTCCGGGGACAGATCTTGACCAGATTTGGCTTCATCCTTCATCCTTCATCGCTCCGGGCCCAACCAGTTCAGATCTCCCAGTCGCCTCCAAGCATAAGCATCATTTGTCGGAGCTCCGCTCAGATTTCGTGGAACGGCGCTGCCCTGACTTCGGATCCGCCGCATTGTTTGGGCGATTTCGCAAGTGGGGCGGAAATAACTTACTTGTCATGCCCCTCTGGTGCCGATGTTCCGCCCTACTTTGGCGTCGCTGTTTCCGCCACACGATCGCGAGCGTTTCCGCAAGCACAGTTGCAAACAGGACAATCAACCAAAGTATGGCGGATCTGAAGTCAGCGTGGGCCACCCCTGGCGGTGCTTGCGGCGCCGCCACTGGCGCGCTCCGCGCGCCAGGGAGGGGGGGTCCAGCACCGATGCAAGAAACTCGCTCAGAGCCCCCAAAGTTTACGGTAGGTTGAAGTCGGGCGTGTCCCTCAACTGGAGGAATTTTCAAGAAATAGTCATAAGATAGTCTGGGGGCGATTTTTCTATTTTCGACCATTTGGGAATCTGTTTTGACTCTCTTTATTGCTCGTCCACAATCCGCCTGTAGGAGGGCGTGCCCGACCTAACGGCAGGTTCGCGCCGCGTTGCCGCGGCGGTGGCCCTTAGAGCGGGCGTTATCAAGGTTGAAGGCCGTCGGTGGCCCAGGAATCGGCCGATAGCGAACGATCTGCTCTATCCGACAGCCGTGAAGGGCAATGTCCATATCCACATCCAGTGCGTCTTGGAGCTTTGGACTCTTCCCAGGAAGCATGAGGCGCACTGGATATGGATTATTATCTGTCTCCAAAAGGCTCGAGTTTTATCCATATCCAGTGCGCCTCGGCCTTGCGGCGCCCCTTCTAAGAAAGTCCAAGACGCACTAGATATGGCTATAACTATTGCCCGCAAGCAGTGATCGCTCAAAGGTGAACGACCCGCGGGGTGTCAGAGACCAGCGCCGACGTCATCGCGACGCGAACCAGCCGTACAATCGTTTATGCAGTCCTTTCTCCCTCTGCGTCGACTGCGGGCAGGTGGACGCAGCCGAGCTGCTGCGGGAGTACGACAGGCGTCGGTCAGAGGAGCGCGAGCTCAGCCCACAGTTGTTGTCCTTCGGGGGCCCCCTCGTCGCCTCGGGATGCTCTCCAGCAGGTGTGCCTCGTCGACAGCGCTCCAGGGGTGCCCGGCTCGTCCCGAACGGCCGCTGGAGGCCCGCGCTGAGACCCGAAAGCCAGACGAACGACGGACGTCAGAGGATGGCGAGGTGAGACAACGGTGGTGGGTCTTCGGGGGCCCCCTCGTCGCCACGGCTGGACGCAGCTCGGGAAACTGGTTCGCGGACCGATCTTGAGCTGCCGTAGATCCGGGCGTTGCCGTTTTTTTCCAGACCGGGCGTCTTCGCCCGATTGCGGGCCCCGGGGCCCTCACGGATCGATCCAGCTCCAAGGGTGACGCGCGAAGATTGGTCTGGGACTCTGGCCGCTCTCGTTGCAGCGGGGGCCCATGCCAAGAAACACCCTGCTTGCCTCCAGGGTCCCCTGGGTTTCTTGGTTTTCGACGGTTTTGCTGTGGAAGGCGCGAAGCTCCCACACCAAAAAATCCGTGGACGTCCTGGGGTCTCAGGGTTAGGTTTCTTGTGGAAGGTTTCTCGTGGACTGGCCTCCACTGTGCTATGTCTGATTTTTTGTTCGTGACGTCGGATCTCAGGGAATGTCAACTGACCAACTCACTGATCCTGGGCGCGCCTATCCTTGGGCCAGGATCGACGTATAATCCCTGCTGACCTGGGCAGAAATCGTGTCTTGTTCATCGGGCGCGTAACGGTCGTTACTCGGGCAACTCTCCACACACGCAGCGCACACTTGCCGCGGCTTGCCCCACCCCGCCTAGGCCTTACTATCACCCGGCCGCCCCCCCCCCCCTGGATAACGAACGTCGCGGGCAATACCGGACGGGCTAGGACGATCGTAAATCCATTGCAGAGCGCTCCGGGACGCGCTGAGAGTGCCGCGGCGCCCGAGACATCCTCCAGAGCCGCCGGATCTCAGAGATTCTCACTGTATATCTTCACCCGATGCGATCCCCGCCCTGGCTTCGCCTTAAAATATGACACCTGAGAAAACCTCAATCAGTGGATGATTTGAAAATTGATACTATGGATCTTGAGATCGATAATGAGATCGATAGTGGAACCGATAGTGAGGACGATTGTAAGGTCGATGGTGAGACCGAGAGTGAAATCGATTCAATGAGATCGATAGTGAGATCGATCGCGAGATCGCTCACGCGATCTCTAGTGAGACCGCTTGTGAGATTGATAGTGAGATCGATTGTATCGAGAAGTCGGTAATGAGATCGATGGTGAGACCGAGCGATAAGAAGATCGACCAGGAATCCGGGAACCCAGGAATCTCGCCGCCCTCCGAAATCGGCCCGGAACCCGGAATTGGGAACCTGGGAACCCGGAACCGGGAACCCGGGAACTTGGGAACCCAGCCTGCCGACAAAATCGGCGTGGAACTTTCGCCAAATCCTTCATTTTCCGCTAGGACCCCTTCAGTGCAAGCACTGACTGGGAATATCCAAGGACGCAGGGAGGCCCGTGTGCACCGAGCCCCCGGCCCAGCACCCCGCGGGCGACGGGTGGTCAGCTCTATGGCGCCTTCCAGAGGCGCAGGCGCCGCTGGGCGGCAGCCGTGGGGGCCTGCCAGGGCCTGGCCCCCGCGGGCAGGGCGGCGGGCGGCGACGTGATCCGGAGGAGGAGGAGGTGCCCACACCGCTACCCTGCCCTCGTTTCAAGTCGGGCATGTCCCTCTACAGGAGGACTTTCCAAGCATAGTCAAGAAGTAGTCTGGGGACGATCGTTCGATGATTGTTCTAGTAATTCTGAAGATATGTCGATGATTCATCAGTTGTCCTCTCAAGTCCGCCTAACCCTTGCTTTCGCCTTCTTGGGCCTCCTGGGAGGCCTTCGTCGCCACCGCGGGAGTCGCCCCGGAGTCCTGGTCAGGGCGCGCCCTGGGAGAGGTCCGGGGGAGCAGCGGCATCGGTGCCTTCTGGTTCCCCCAGTGGTGCAGCGTCTCGTCTGCGTCCGCGCCCGCAGCTTCCTGGAGGCCGCGCGCTCGGGCCAGGAGGTCAAGCTGAGGCGCCCTGCCGGCGAGGGGGAGCCCTTCGCGGAGGTGGCGGTGGCCACGCCCGGGGGGCACCTGCTGGCGCCCCGGCCGCCCGCGAGCTGGCTGGCGCGGGCCCTCGCTGCCGGTGGCGGGGCCGCGGGAGCGATGGCGCTGTGGTGTGCGGGCGGCGACCAGGCGCCCGGCCCGGCCGTGGCGGTGCGCTTCGAGGCTGAAGTGCATGGCGTCCGCGCAGGCGGGGGGCCCAGCGTGGACACGGTCGCAGCCCACGCGCTGTTCTCGTCGGCCTGGACGGGGGGTCGGGGCACCGACAGCCCGCGGGAGCCGCGGGAGCTCGCAGCCTGCCTCGTCGGCCTGTGCCCAGCGCTGCTCGCCGAGGCGCCCTCGTTCCAGCGGTACGCCTCCCTGTGGGTCTCGCGCGGCCTGGACTCGGCGGTGGCGGCAGCGCGCAGCGCTCTGCACCTCGGAGAGCTGCTGCGACTGGCGCCCGGGCCCGAGGCTGCTGCGTGGCTTGCCGCGGTGCTGGACGAGGAGGGCGCGGCGCTCCTCCAGGGGTACTCGGGCGAGCGCGCCGGCAGCGAGCTCCAGCTGCTCCTCGCGTACAGGATCTTGCTGTGGCTGCGATTGGCGCACGCCCTCTGCGGCGACCCGGTCGCCGACGGTCCCCTGGGTTTGGCCGCCCCTCCAGGCGTGGCGGCCTGGGGCGCGGCGGCCGCCTCGGCGGCGGCCGCCGCGTCCTTGCTGCAGCAGGCGCCGCGCCCGCGTTGGCTGCAGGCGTGCGCCGCGGCAAAGGCTTGCGAGGTCGTTGCGGAATTGCCCTGGGCGCCGGCCGAGCCGAGTGTATCTTTGGGGAACGAACAGTGACATAAACATAAAAACTCGGAGGTCCGCGCGGATTTCTCGGATCCGCGCTGGACCCCCATTCCAACCTGAAGATGGGCTCTCGGACGCAGAGCGACCACAGTATAAGCATTTGGAGTGAGGGACGAGTTCAGTGTCGATGCCATCGGCTTAGGGATACCGTCTTCCATGAGGCACGCAAGCCGCAGCCACCACGGATCGCACGCCGAGAACAGATTTGCCAACATCTTCGGGCAGAAGCGGGAAATGGCGAGGCATCCAGTAGTTGGCGAGGCACTACGTTACGATGGTGGCTAGCAATCCTGGAACCAGCTTTAAGCAACTTCTCATTGAACAGCGGGAGTCAGCCGTCGGAACCGCCGCAGATTTCCGAGGGTGATGGATGGCTGCTTATCGTCAACGAGTTTGAGGGACATGCCGCACAAGAATGTGATGTGCCGCAATGGTGTTGGACTGACCGTGCGCATGCGAAAGTGACTGTTGACGGTTCATGCCGCATCCGTGTTGCTTATAGTTTCTGTCATGTTTGTGGCAACGGCAACACACTGCAAGCAGTGCCATGCGGACCAGGCCAGAAGCTTGACGGCTCCCAGAGATGTTCGCCTTCTCGTTCCATTTCGCCAATCTTTCAGCCTCAATGCCCTCCATCTCTATATGTTCAGTGTGAGTGTAATTCCCAATTGAGTGGAAGTCCCGCTGCCATAATGAGCCAGACTAGGTTCGAGCTCCCCGAATTGCAGATTTTGGGATTGACTGTGGCGCGACCATACTTGCAGTCTTTGCACGGGCTCTTAAAAGAAGCAGTGGAGACTCTGGCCATGTGCCAAACTGGCTCATCCAGTTTGTTCGGTCGGGGGCCTTGCCGAAGTGCAGGTCTTCTTTTTTTGCGATGGTGCGCATGACTGGGTCGACCCACGGACATGGACGGCAGAAGCAGCAGGAGCAGGATGACAAGGTCATTGTTCGCGAAGTGCGTGACGCGTGATTGACTTCGACTGAAACTTGAGCGTGTGCGAAGCGCCCGTATGTTCAGTATCAGTATGTACACACATCTAGTTATACATAGAGATACAGACACCCACACACGTACACCCATCTGCTGGTGTATTACATACACATCTGTACATCTATAGATGTACACATATATACAATATATTATATATGTGTGGCCAAGGACCCTCCAAGATGGCCCCCAGACGGCCCCAGAGAGTCCAGGGCGGCCCTGGAGCCCGCCAAGACGGTCCCAGATGGCCTCTGGACCGCCCGAGAGAGCTCAAGATGGCCCCTAGACGGCCCCAAGAGGCCCCCGAGAGACTCACGAGGGGCTCCCAAGAGTCCCCCAGGAGTCGAACATCCTTCACACATCCTGCAAAACTCAAGGTAAGTCCATGGTCTTTCACGATCTCGCCTCATTGCGTCCGAGGGGCCTCCCAGACCTTATGACGGTCCAGCATCAGCCGCCCAGTAGCCCCAGGAGGGCCAGCGACGGTCGACTAGAGCCCCCAAGACCCTTCACTTGGCATCTCTCGCCCGTGTGCATTTTATCTCGGCGAGGACCATCGGGGAGTATCCTTGATTCGTTGACCATCTGGCAACAAAAAACACACACGCACGGAACCGAAACATGAACGGGTAATGGACGTCCGAGCGATGGCAAGTTCAAGATGGCTCCGAGATGGTCGAAGATGGCTTCGAGACGTCACTCGAGCCCGCCATAATGGCCCCAGCTGGCCTCCAGACGGCCCCAGCCAGCTCAAGATGGCCCCAAGACGCCCCTGGTGGCCTCCAAGAAGCTTCGAAGAGGCCCCCAGAAGCCTCCGAGGCCCTAGAGGAGCACCCGATAGGCCCCAGACGACTGGGGCTCCCCCAAACGCTTCAAGATGACGCCGAGACGGCCGAACATGGTTTCGAGACAGCCCTCGATACCGCCAAGACGGCCCGAGATGGGCCCCAGACGGCCCCAGGCACCTGTAGATGTCTCCACGACGGCCCGATCACCCCAGAGGTTCCCAACAAGAGGCCCCCAGTGATGGTGATGGTGATGGTCAGGAGCAGGATGATTATGATGGTCATGATCATGATGATGTCACTATGAGTGTAATTGTGATTATGGTGATGATTCTGGTGATGATGATGATACTGATGATGATGATGATGATGATGATGATGATGATGATGATGATGGTGAGGATGCTTACGGCGACGGTGATGACGATGTCCTTCCTGGTCAGGATGATGATGATGTTGATGACGAGGATCATGATGCTGGTAATGCTAACCATGATGATGTTGATAGCGATGATTATGATTATGGTGATGATGATTATGATGATGATGATGATGATGATGATGGTGATGGTGATGATGATGACGAGCAGGAGGAGGACGAGGAGGAGGATGACGATCACTACGACACTCCTCGAGCCCCGAAGCGGGACTCCAAGAGACTTCAAGAGTTTCTCACAGGCCCACAGCGAGCTTCAACAAGCCTCCCGAAGGCCCGTTCCGAGCCCCCCCCCCCCGCGTCGACAATGCTGCCCAAGGCGCGCATCCGAGCTGATGCTGGACTCCTTCACTCCCGACGGCCCGTCCGCACCCCTGACACGTAGCAGGTCTGATGTTCACGGAGGCATCTCCGGTTCCATTTGGGCGACGGCAAGACGACCATATTGATAACGATGTGCATGACGACGGATTTGATGTTCAGGGTTGCGAGATAAAGGAGGGTCACGATGTTGGTAATAGTCGTGATGCTGATGATGATGATGATGTTGATGATGATGATGATGATGATGATGATGATATTGATGACGACGTCGATGACAATACTGATGATCGTGATGATCATGCCCTGATGGGGATGATGATTCGTTTCATGACGGTACTGCTCCCGCCCCAAGACAGCCCAGCAATGCTCGCGAAAGCCGCCTCAGAGGCTTCCAGAAGGCCTCCAGCATGGACAAAAATATGTGTCCACGATGTTCATAACGCCCATGTTGATGCTCATGGCTTGCGATGATAAGGAGTATCATGATGATGATGATGACGATGATGATGATGATGATGGTGAAGCTGATGATGGTGATGATGATACTTATGATGCCCAAGCTATTATAATCGCGATGATCATGATCATGACCATGATATGATCATGAGTATTGTGTTGAGTATGTTGATGGTGATGGTCGGGATGTTTATGATGATGAAGGTGATGATGATGATAATAATGACGATGACGATGACGATGACGATGACGCTGAAACTGTTGTTGATGATGATGGTGATGATGATGACGATAAGCCTGATGAGTATGATGGCATTTCATGATGATCATGATGATCATGACGATGGCGATGGTGATGGTGATGATGATGGTGGTGGTGATGGTTAGGATCATGGTGATGCTGATGCTGATGATGAGGATGATGCTGATGTTGATGTTGATGCGGATGCTGATGCTGCTGATGAGAGGGGGTTGTGAATATGATGATGATGCTGCTGATGATGATGATGTTGGTCATGTTGATGGACATGGTGGTTGTGATGATGATGGTGATGGAGTTGGCGATGCTGTTGATGACGATGGTGGCTATTATGACGGTGACGGTGGTGGTCGTAATGATGATGACGATGACGATGATTATGGTGATGGACGTGATAATGCTACTGATGATGAGGGTGATGATGATTATGATGCTGATGCTGATTATGATGCTGATGCTAATGATACGGCTCATGATGTTTATTGATAGGTTGATGATAATGATCATGATACTGATAATGATAATGATGATGATGATGACGATCACGATGATGATATTGACGATGAAGCATATGATGATGGTGATGGTTATCATAATTATATTGAACACGACGTCGGCGGTGAAGGCGGTGATGGTGACGATACTGATGATGTGGATGTTGATGAGACTAGTGACGGTGACAGTGATGGTGACTATAACCATCCTGACATTGGTGATGTTTCTGACTCCTCCTCCTCAATCCGGCGGCCGCCTCTGAAGCTGCTGGAGGGCCCCAAGCTTGCCCAAGAAAGCCCCAAGATGAGCGCCAGAGGCCACCAGGACGGTTCCAAGAGTGGCCAAGAGCTTCCCAAAACGACCCAAGCGATCGCGAAGTGCCCAGCCACACGGCTTTCGAAGGCGTCCGACGGGCCAGGAGCACCCTAAGGCAGCTTGCGAAGCCCCCTCGAGGCCCCAAGGCAGCACCACGAGGCCGAGGCCTCCAATATGCCCCCAAAAGGTTCCCCAGAGTTCAACAGCACGTCTAAATTGTTCAATAACCAGTGGGAGATTACATATTCTGAAAAGAGTCGCCAGTTCGCTTTCGATGGAACTTCCTCTCAGGCCTCCAGATGCCCTCCAGACGTCCCACAGGGCTCCCGAAACAACAGAAGAGAGCCCTGAGAGAACCTCAACAAATGTTATGAGCATCGGGATGACGCCGACGACAACGACGACGATCATTTGATGATCATTTTGGTGGTGATGAGGATGATGGGTAAGACGATGGCAGTGACGATGCTCAAGATTGGCGTATCGGTGTTGATGATGATGGTGATGGGAGTGAGAGTGAAGATGATTATGCGGATGAGAATGAGGGCAGGGATGCTGCTGATGATTATGATGTTGCTGCTGATGATGATGCTGATTCGGATGCTGATCCTGCTGATGAAGACGATGACGATGATGAGGAAGATAAGGATGAGGCTGGTGATAATGGTGGTGGTGATGATGGTGAGGAGTAGGAGGAGAGTGAGGATGAGGATGAGGATGAGGATCATGATGATGGTGCGCGACTTTGACGTGACGGAATGGCTAGCAACATTGTGCCAAGGATGTTCCCCATTGTGTTGCTGGTGATGATGACGATGATTATAGTCTTGGCGATTATACATATGATGATGAGTGGAATGATGAGGAGCATGAGGGTGACGATGGGAATGAGGATGAGGGTGAGGATGAGTACGACTATTGCACGCGGTT